CCCCGGGCCACCCTGTCTTTCTTTTTCTGGAACGCCTATGGACCCCGGGACGTTGATGGAAGAACGTAGGTAGGCCCCGCGCGCGCGGCCACCCGTGCCTACCCCTCGCGACGTCAGCCCCCCTCCTTTCCGATGAACCCCTCCCGGCCGAGGTATCCGGCCTCCCCGATTGCTGCGGTCCGCTCGGGCGCAGCGACGATCCACGTCGGGGCTTAATCCTAATCCGTACGTTAATCGTACGCCCGATCCGGCGAACCGGATCCCACATTCTGCGCGATTCGTGTACGCGTATTATGCCCGTCTATCCGCCTGTCTACCTACTTACCTACCTACCCACCCGGTTTCAGGCCGTTGTCGGAACCGGGGGATGGGAGCTTGTCGCGCTCGCGCGAGGATCCGCGAGGAGAATTCTTGAGAAAGAGGGCCCAGTCTCTCGCCGCCCTTCGCGCCGGTGGACGGCCATTGTTCGCCGGGGGTATGTCGTGAATTTTATTAGAGACCAACTGGGAACCGGCCATCGCTAATATATCTCTTGATCTGCCGATGGTCTTTTTGCGATTGCTCGATCCACGCCGAATCAACTGTTCCCTCGAAAACGAGCAAAACGGTGACTAGTGGAGAAAGAGAGAGAGAGAGAGAGAGAGAGAGAGAGAGAGCTGGATCGAGTTTACGATTTCGAAATTGGTATTACGAGTCCGGCTTCGAAGTATCATGAATTATAAATGAGATGCCGCGTCTCTCTCTCTCTCTCTCTCTCTCTCTCTTCTTCGGAGGAAGGAGAGGTAACAAAGTTAAATAAGTTTACTTTGACCGCACGTCCGGCGGGAGGGAGGGACGGAACGCGTGCGACGTAAATCGCGGCCGTCTTGAATATACGCAATGAATCTTAATTGAGCGGGCGCGGGACGGAAAGGAGACGTAAATTGAAAGAGAGATGTAGAAGTAAGGATATCGCATCCTTCTCGCATTATAATATGCATATGTCGTTCGCTTAGCAATTCACACGAATCCTTCGTCGAGGTCATCTCCCTCTCCTTCTCTCTCTCTCTCTCTCTCTCTCTCTCTTTCTCGTCATCTCTTTTCTCTCTCTTTCTCCCACTCGGGCAAAACCTCTCTCGCTTTAAGGAGCGCTCCCGGCGGGGCGGCTTCCACGAAAAAGATTACAATTTTCCCCAGCAATCACGGGGGGATGAATCCTCGGCGCTAATGCAGCGACAATACAGATGTTTTCGCGTCTAAGCGGCGTGCTAAGTGGATCTCGTCCGTTCCCTTCCCCCCTGTCTCTCTCTCTCACTCTTTCTCTCTCTCTCTTTCTCTCTCGCGCTCTCGCTCTTTCGTTCCTCGTGAGGGCGAATGCGCTGGAAAAAGCACCCGCGTCGATATTCTTAAAGGCGTAGCCGCGGGGTGTCAGGCGGGCCGATACCTGATTTTCTGCAGCTTCCGAAGTCTCTTCTCAGCATCTCATCTCATCTCAGCTCGGACTCGGTTACATTTGACCGCGTGCCTTCCTGCCTTCCCGCGTGCCGAGCGAATAATTGGAGTAGGTCCGATAGGACGCGGGTCGCGCCATTTTCATTTCGAAGGGTGGAGGAGGGAGATTTCGTGAGGGAGATTCCTGGTGAGACGTCCCTTATATTGATAGGTATCGCTCGCTAAGACGGACGGCGTGACGTTGTTGACGTTGCCGGCCTAAGATATTGTTCGGTTCGCATTTTGTATGATTATTCCGGGCCTGCTGGTCGATTCTTCCGGAATTTCACGCTCGTTTACTTCTTATGCTCTTGAGAAAACGGCAAGCATTGAAATGGGAGGCAATTACCGGCCGTGAAGAGTTCCGATTCGTTCCTCGGCTCTCAATAAGCGAGGAACAGTTTGAAATTAGTAGTTTTAAAGCGTATTACATTTGAAGAAATATGTAATTGTACATTGTATTTATATTTTGTAAAAATAACTGCTTTTTTTCTGAACTAATCAATTCATCTTATTACGTATATATACATGATATTGTTCTTCTGTATCGCAAAAATTGACATGAAAAAAAAAACACTATAGTTTCATTGACTTTCAATACACAGGAGTTTTAGAATACAACTTGT